TCGAGGGCGAGCCCTCCTGGTTTCGATTAATCGCACCCAGACAAGACGCGATAAATCGAACCCAGAAGTTCGATTGCCTGCCGCCGAACCAGCGCGTAAGTATAGACAAGCCCTTTCTGTCTCTGCCTACTTTTCAGACATAGTCTGTTATTTCATCATACCACACACACTCTGATTGATTAATGATGGCAGATTTAGTGGCCTGTCTGTCCTCTTCTACCACAGCTATGTCCAGGCCCCTTTCCATGCTGCCTGTTGTACCTAGGATACCTTCCTTGAACTGGTTCCCCATATCACTGCCCTCCATGGGTTCAGATCCTTCCTTAAGACCCACCTCTTCCACAACACCCACAAGAGTCAATAGCGATTCTTTCTTGAATAACCTATTTTGTATGTTTTACAGAGCTGCATATTCTTACTACAGTGACAACTGTCTGCCATTTCCCCACTCCCATTGTTTAGTTCCCCACATATTACGTCACGTATGAAATTGAATTGTGTGTTCTACTGGGCAGGGACTTTGTGCAATCTACAATCTTTGTGAGGCACCTAGTGTAATGTTGACTGTTGTAAAATTATACATAGTTATTCTGATTCATGCACACCCATTAATCAAGATTTATTATGTCCCATGGTGAGTTTCATAGCTAACACCTAATGCTCACCTTCTTGGATGTTGCAAGGTGCTATCTGGTATTAACCGCTGTGAACTTAAATTAACACTTTAACAATTTTATCAGTACATTTCCAAGAAGGCTGCTTCCATGGGAAGAGTTGCTAATACATTGCATCATTTCCCCCCCTATTTATATAAAATGTGTAAAGGAGAATGGATGTTTGACAATACCATACATCAGCACATGCTTTTGGAACATGTTTGTATGAACTGCCTCAGTCCCCCTTAGTTCCTTTGTATTCCAGGGATATTACCTCTAAAGAGTGAACAAAACTTTGAGAGATATTTGAGGAAATGCGCTCCTGTTGTGAAACGATTTATTTTATATTGTATCAGCACAGTCTGGCTCTATAATGTGCACTTTTGGAATTAATTCAACTGTTCTACAACTTTATCCTGACCTTTTTTCTGATAAAAGTTGCTTGTTTCTTTAAAAAAAAAAAAACAACACACCAACAAAAAAACAGTTTTGGTAAGAGATTGCACATAACTGCATACATGCTTTTCAGGCAATGTCAATTTTTTGTCTGATTTACAATGCTATATAAATTATTATTAATGTGTATGATGCATTGCAGTGGTAGATCTGTTTGTAACAGATCCCCACCTGGAAACGTTTATCAATCAAAGGGTACAAGCAAAGGCAAATAATGCAACACAAGACAGAAATACAAAGAGTTGGGTGTCATGGCTAGCATCTGAATTTCTAGAAGGCGTATGTAGCCCAGTGGTCCAATAAATGGGGATACTGACCTTAGCGTAAATCAATATGTGTTTACTGTAATCCAGAGAGGGAAAACAGCTCTTGCAGTGCCTGAAAAATAAGTTGCAATAGTGCCATCTAGTGTGCCATGTCTGAAGTTTCACACATTTCAGTTAGCTAGGGGCTTATACTTTCAGTCTAAGAGTAAGGGAGCCTCTCTGGGGTGCGAAAAGAGGCAGAGGGCAGCAGTTTTGAGTGTTCGTCTATAGAGGGCCTCCTCAGACTCTCTTTGACCAGGTGCAGTGAATACCTAACCCTAGATAAATAGAGGAAACATACAGCAGTCACAAGCCTGATAGTTACAATTCCACATACTGGGGGCAATGGCCCTTCCCATGTGCTGCAATGTGATCAGACCAGACCAGATCTGGGCCAGGTACGGAGTGGGGACGTGGCGGGGACTCAGTGCCAGAAAAAGAGTGGGGTCCAGGTTTGAGTGACTTACAGGAAAGTGGGAGGAGCTTCTGTCTGGGTGGCTCAGCACCTTATTCTGAGTAAGTAGCTCTAGATATGGGTAGTCTGGCAGCTTACATGGGCAGGGAAGGACAGAGGCCTGATCTGGACAGCCCAGTATCTTGCACAGGAAGGAGCTACTTATATGCGAGGCCCTTGTAGCTTGCTGCACTGCTGCCCCTCCCCTTTCAGTGTGCGTGGAAGGCTGAGCTAAGCCTCTGTGTTCAGATCATGAGACATGCAAGGTATGGTTGCACCAATTTGTCCTTCAGAGAGTGAAGCTGCTCAGGGTTTATGTTTCTGTGTTTGTGTTTGATACAGAATCTGCGTATGACAAGTGGAAGAGCAGTCTGTCCAGGAAGCACGGTGTCAGCCCCACAGGAGGCCCAGATTCACCAGCCACATGGCTTCAGCTGCTCCTGCCCCTTGTGGCTGGCACCCAGAAGACATTTCTTTCCCCAGCGGATTTGCTTGGGGTGCTGCTACAGCAGCTTATCAAGTTGAAGGTATCAGATTTCCACATGCCAAAGGAAGGAAGAAGGGGGGTTAAATAGTTTTAAAGCACAGATGGGCCCCAAGTCATGAAGTCTGGATCCAAAAATCAGCAATATTGAGAGGACAGGTGGAGGGGATGGGATTCCATGTTCCATTTTGGCCCATTGCATAGTTTTTAAGTCTTGTGTGGCTCCATGTGACATTTCTCACTTAACTGCTCCTTGCCCTGAACAGTTGGGGTGGGAAAACCTATCCCCAAACCCCAGAAACAAGACCAGATGGCAGGTGGGGAAAATAGGTGTGCGTCCCTCCTCCCAGTGATCAAGGTGAGAGAAGGAAGCAGCAGCAGGTTACATTCCCACTAGGCTTTCACTCCCTCCTTTCTGTTGGGGTAGACATGAGCAGATTGCTTGGCTCGCAAGGGCCTCTTCATGCCCTAAGAAGTGAGAACAGGTGTGCATATAGGTGACAGTCATAATTAATTCCCCAGAAGCAGGTGTTGGGGGGAGAGTCACAAGTAAGAACCCATCTCCTGGAAGCATGAAGGACACCAAACTGGAAGGTCAGTGCTAGGCCTTTGGGATCCCCTTCCACGGTGGGCAGGATTTTCCTGTGCTCAGTAGAAGCCTTGCCTACATTTCCTGGGACTTCCATGATCACAGGGAAATTCATCCACTGGTGCCGAACTTCTTCTGGAATCTGCTTTTAGTAAGCAGAGCTCAGCCATCCTCAGTTTGTGAGTATGTCCTTCACATAAACTTATATAGTACCTATTCAGAGGACTGAATGACAGTGATCATCTCTGGTGAATCCCCATGAACAGATGGAGGGTAGGTCACTGACCATTCCATGAGATTGTGAGAGGGTATGGGATAAGGCTCCCAGACCTCCCACATGTTTGTGGGTGTAGCTGGGGCTTGGGAGACCAGCAGGGTAGGGACACCAGAGCCAAAGCAGTTGTTGGCTTATGGATGAGGGAGCAGTGTAAAGTAGAAGGGCCCAGCAAGTGTTTGTTAGTTGGCACCATGGGGAAGTTGGGGGCACATGGAATCCGGTGTTAGTGAGAATGATGTGTACAGAGGAGGCTAGGGGAGCAGGTTTGGAGTATATGAGGTGGGTGTTGGAGGCAATGGGGTTTGGAGAGACAGTGTCCCTGTAGAGATAGGAGACAGTAGAAAGCAGGTTGATGAGAAGATGACAACACTTCAGGGATTTGGAGGAGCCTCAGGCAAGTGATCTGACTGGGGCAACTGGAGGAAAGGCTGCGGGGGAACCCTTGAAGACCAGAGAGTGATAATCAAAGCTTGGAGCAATGGAGGGAAGGAGATTGGGGAACTATGACCTCTTCACTCTCTAAAACCCGGTAAATACAATATCAGGTTTAAAACACCATCCTTGGGGCTTAATTCTAAATCTTTTTCGTATCTCTCAAGATGGGCAGGTCTCAAACCACAGAGGGGGAAACAGCATAAATTCAGCTTTACCTGCAGGTTTGAGGTGGTGGGGAACTCGGGGAAGCCCAGCCTCCTGTCTCTTTCTTACCCATTTTCTCCTGCTGAGGATAGCTTCCATGGGCCCTGGGGGAGTGTAGGAACTACTCCTTTATTCTCTGGGCTGAAATTCACATGGAAGTTTAGTAATATATCACATCCTGCCTTTTGAGTGGCTAGATGAGTATTGGAGCAGCACTGGGTCTGCAGATTCCTTAGGTGGCAACTGGTGCCATGCATGGCATAAGAAACACTTGGTGAATCATGAGCATCAGAGGCCCACACACACTGCAGAATTTACCACCCATGGAGGGCGCCATTGACAGGACATTGCTAATCCTAATTGATCTGGACATACTACTTTAATCTGGAAAAGATACAAGAAAGTTGTCTGTCAACTAAGTGGAACTCCAACTAGATGCTGCTACAGATCCTGTTTCCTTATGCTGGTCCTGGTCCTGACCCCAGCATTTATCTCCTGGCTCTGATACCAAGTTTATGATTTGGTTTTGCCTCCTGCTTCTTATTTCTGGTTACCTGACTCTAGATTGACAAATGACTTTGATTCCTGATGTTTTGCCCTGTCTTTATCCACTAGGCTGGCTTTTTCTTCTTCTAGCATTTGTAGTGCTTGCTAAGCCACCCGGAAGAGGCTTCATCTGCAGAATGAAGGGCCCTAAGGCCACCATGATGTTACGGGTTGGACTCCTTGGGAAGCCACCTGATATGCTGAGATACCGCTGAGTCTACCTCTTCTGCCAGCATGAGCCCCCTTTAACCTGAGCCAGGCTCTTAAAACCTCCTCTAACACACACACAGGCAGGGCCACACGCAGCTGCAGATCAGCTCTGGGAAGACTCAGCTTAAGGGACTTGCTCCAGCACTCAGATGTCCACCTCCCCTGGAGTGCAGACCCAAACATATATTATGAAATTCGCCCGCTCCCTCAATGTGAAGAGAGGTGTACACACTTCTTACCCACCAGTCAGAAATTACAGAAACTGAGTTTAATAATAAACAAAACAAATGTTATTAACTATAAAAGGTAGATTTTAAGTGGTAAAATGGGTAACAAACAGAGCAAAGCAGATTTCTAAGCAAATAAAATCAAACAAACATGCAAACTAAACTAGTTTCACTAAAGAAATTGGTTACAAATAGTATTTCTCACCCTAGATATTGTTACAGGCAGTTTGCAAAGTTTCTGTGGTTCAGAGTTACAGTTATATTCCTTTTCAGACTAGACCCCTGTTTCAGTCTGGACTCTCCCCTCGCCTTTCCTTTTGCAGTCTTTCTTCTTGGGCAGACAGGCCATGGAGAGGAAGAGTCCTGTTTGCCTTCCTCCCGACCCTGAAATAGTTTCCCAATTTGACCTCCCTGGCTGTAGACTCTCTGCGACGAATGTGTGGAGGGGCTATGTTGCTCAGAACTGGTATGGTACCTGTGATGGTATGCCTGGTCAAGCTCAATTTGACATCAACCAATTTAGTGTGAGGTGAACAATATCACACAGGGGCACAGTATTCTGCTGAGAAATAGCACAGTGCCAGAGCTGATGTGTGAAGTGTCTGTGAGCCTGTGTCCCAGATCGAACCAGCTAATTTGCTGATTCGATTATTCCTAGTCCTGACTTTGGCAGCAGTGTTTTTTAGATGGTCATGGAAAGTCAAAGTGCAGTCCAATGTGACACCAAGGTAGACAGATTTTGCCTCATGTTTCAGTTGTTTGCCATTAAGGAAGACATCTAACTCACCTTTAGTGCTTGTGTTGTGGAGTTGGAAGATGCTCAAAACTGTCATGGTCATACCTGTTTGGAGGCACCAACTGCTTCAGTAGGCTGCCATCTTGGCTAAATCTGTGTTCAAGATGTTCTCCAATTTGATGAAAGAGAATGACTGGGTACCACAGCAGATGTCATCTGCATAGATAAACTTGCCTGACTGAGTCAGTGGCAGGTCATATGTGTACAGACTGAACAGGGTGGGCACAAGCACGAAGCATTGGGGTAAGCCATTGGATTATCTTCTCCATGCATTTGTTCTGTCTCCCATATGTACCAGAAAATGACTGTCACAAAGTAGAAGTTCAACAAAGTCTACTACCCATGCTGGAAGAACTCCTAACAGTTTTACCAGAAGTCCAGTGTGCCATACTGTATCGTAGACCTCTGTCAGGTCCAAGAAAACAGCTCCTGTCTTCAAGTTCTGTTGAAACCCATTTTCTATATATGTAGTGAGGCCTAGGACTTGGTCACATATGCTTTGACTCTTCTGGAAGCCAGCTTGGTTAACAATGAGAATTATCTCCACCTCTGGAGACATACGCTGGAGGATAAGCTGCTCCAGGACTTTAAAGATGACAGATAGCAGAAAGATTGGTTGGTAGCTTGTTGCATTGTGTGGGTCCTTTTCGGATTTTAGAAGAGTGATCACTTTTGACATCCTCCAGATTCAGGCTGGCTGCCCATGATCCAGCCTTGACAATGAGCAACTTTAATGTTTTCTATAATTTTTGATGGAAATTCCCACGGTTTTATTAAAAAATAAATATAATGTGAAAATATTCAGCTAGACACTATAGGAAATACCCTATCCCCACAAAACTGAAGAGGTCCACAGGGGTTAACTCACTCTTCAAAGCCTAGGAGCTGTGCAGCTTTTACCTGACAAGGCAGTGTGACTGAGTCAAGAGTTCTTGTGAAGTCCCAACTCAACTGTTGCACATATCACAAGTTGCACAGTGAATGAGGTGAGGTCTCAGAGTGTACTTTATTTTTCACTGTCAGCTATGTATTTATGCACAGTTCAGCCTACTTCACTCAATATATTTCAAAGTGCTAAAAAAATCATACCAATTGTACTCTGTATGCTCAAAATGCAGCTTTCAAAGGTGCATGACTCAGTCAAATCAAAATCAATTTTCACCAGAACACTCCAAGGCACTTCTCCTTACGAGGGCCATTTCTATGCTAAATTTCAACTCTGTACTAGAGCTCTTAAAAAAAGAGAGAGAAAAATTGCAAGAATTTTTAGTAATGGTAAAAACATATTTTCTTCACTCACTCTGTATGAACGAGTTGAGCTATACTTAGCAGATATTCACCTTTGGGTGGAGACCAAGTCTAGAAAACTTCAGCCCAAAAGGTGAAGGTTTTGGAAAGGTACACTTGAGTGCAAAGAGATTAGTCTGGAAAAGCACATAAAACCTTAAAAGTAGTGGGCACTGATATTCCTGCTGTAACTTAATTTTTAAAGGAGAACTACTCCAATGCATTCTATTTTAATAATTGTAAAGACTGAGGTATGTGCATTGAAATATAGATGGTCTATAATCATTATTTTAAATATTTGAGGGCATATTAATATAGTCTAGAGTGATTTGGCCAATCAACTGTGTGTACAATAGGTGACATGTATGACCAGATTCTGACCTTTGCTCTTGCTCAGTCCTGAAGCTGGCCTGGAGGCCAGTTCAGCCCCGGCGTATCTTATAGTGGCCTCAAACAGCTAGTTTGTAGCAGCCCACTCTGGGATGCTAACACTGGCTGAGAACCACCAAGGTGCTTCTGCCCTATCCCATCCAATCCCTGGCACTCTCCCACTTGCTGAGTAGACCAGATAAAGAAGGTGGCAGAGTTTGTGCCAGTTGGGGATTCCTACATGCCAGGGGAATTCTTAGCTGCCAAGAAGAGCACTGCAAAGGGGCCATGCTATGGCCCAGAACTGGGCACCTTGAATCTGGTTTTGGGCAAACAGAATCTGCCTTTTAAATACTCTAAATCCCTTAAATAATACAAAATAATTACTCTTTACTTTACTTTGAGTGTTTTCCTGCGAGAATAATTTGAATCTTTACTTAAAATGTAACTACTAAAGTCAAATACTACCCATGGAAAACTGTCAGTACTGTATATATCTGAGAATACCTCAGCACTGAGTCATTGTGTTGTAGGAAAACTTGAACCTTAAGGGACACTCAGAGTTGTTAGATCTAAAAATGGACCTAGTGTGAAGGCTGTCCCATAGAAGAGCTCAATTTACTGAATAACCTTATGTAGCCGTATTGGTGCTTGTGTGCTGTTACAAAATTCCATAAAGAACATGAAATATGACAATGATCTTTCAGAAACTAGGCTACAGAAATGATATTACAGATTCTAGTAACGCTTTAAATTAAGTGTCTGCAATATGCTTAACCTTGCATTAAACTTAAATTTAACAAGACAGATGTGCATTAAGTACTGAATCTACTTTAGGGAGCAATCTCACATTGGCAGGGGATGGACTTGATGACCTCCTAATAGGGCTCTTCCATCTCTAATTTCTATGATACTAATTGATTATTAAAACACTTTTATTGAGGATTGATATGTAGCTATTATATAGGTATTAATCTTACAGCCAACTGATATTTAATTTATACATGATTTTAACCTACAATGTCATTTTAGTTTTTAGACAGTAACCCAGGAAACATGCATTAACTGGAGCTTTGAAAAATTTTGCTTGTAAAGGAAACTGGAGAATTTTGGCATATTCTGAGTTTTGTGATTTGTGTTGCAGGGATGGGGATTTCCAGGACTTTTCACATTAAACATTTGCACATATTACAACATGGTTTTGCAAAGACTGCAATGATTGTCATAAAGAAATCTGCATTTACCCAGTTTATACACCATGGTATCTCAGATCTCAAAATATGGCTAAATACTGAATTTTTAATGGTGATTTCTGTACCTCAGTTTTCAAAAGCACTACAAAATATCCCAGCATAATCAGAATGCAGAAAATGGTGCAGAGATTGTGAACGTTTAGTGTAAAATTTAGTTTAGTGGAAATCTTTGCAGTTTTTCCGTGAACGTTTGTCTAAGCAAAAGGCAGAAGTTTCACAGAGCTTTGTTATTAATTCATGTTATACATGCCTAGGGCCATGGCTCATAATGGCATTCCTTTCTTCTTAACAGACTGTCAGGACTTTCAAAGGACATCCAGAAAGCCATAAGTGCCTATTTGTTGGATGTATTTTTCATATCCTAAAGGCTTTCTTTGATATGGACAGATCTTTTACATTCATGGGTGGAAGTTGCATTAGCAAATACTTTTTGTTAATATCTCAGAAGATTCACAAGCATCTGATCTTTGGCTAAAAATAATATGCAGTGTGTCAGAACCTCTGTAAGTGCTGTTTGAAACAGATTTTTCAAATAGTGAGCAGTGACAAAACCATGAATAAATGCAGAACTTAATACAAATGTTCTATAGCTTGAGAAAAAACTATTCATTTTAAGTGAAAGAACTGGAGAAAGCCCTGCTTGATTTGCTTACAAGGTACTGAGATTCTTGTGTCTACTTTATGTGATAAATATTTACATTCAACATATGTCTTTTGATGTCAAAAGTGTAATGATTCAGTTTTGTTTTTAATCAGGAGGCTGGAATGCAGATGGAAAGGGCCCTAATGTTTGGGACACATTCACCCATCAGGGAGGAGATCGAGTTTTCAAGAACCAGACTGGTGATGTAGCTTGTGGCAGCTACACTCTGTGGGAGGAAGATTTGAAATGTATCAAACAGCTTGGATTGACTCATTATCGCTTTTCTCTTTCCTGGTCACGTCTGTTACCTGATGGGACGACAGGTTTCATCAACCAGAAAGGCAATTGTTTCTTAAAAATAGAAGGTTGCAGCTTTAATTCAAGGTTATTGCTGCAGTCTGGCATAATTAATCCAGTATGCTATTCTGCAGTGTAGCTTTGAAATTGCAACTTTTTTTCAGAGTAATTATGGGATGATTTTTTATAGGTTTGCAACAACTTCCTAATTAATACTCTAGATCCCCTTGGATATCGTGATCTTTTGGGATGGGATGAGTATTATGTTCCCTACCATGTATTTTTTGCCTGTTCTAAATTTTTAAAAAAGTGATTATAAATTGTTCTATTTCATGGGATTGTGTAAAGTTACAATGAACCCCTGCAAAACTTGCTAAGCAAATAAGAGGAAAAGTTTCTTATGGAATGTAAGTAAACAAAATCAATCAATCCCATATTTGACAGTATTGGCAAATGCATGTGGATAGTGTATCAGCATAATCTACTGACATTCTGAATTGCACACTGAATAGCATACATTGTCTAAGTAGGACAGACTTTTCTGCAGGTACTCAAGCAATATACTCCTTAGCTGGCCAATGAGAGGGGATCTCACAGTTCATTTTTATTATTTGTTTTCCAGTAATGGCTGTAGGTTCATTCAGGACAGGGTAGGCATTGTGCTAGATGCTGTACAAACACACACGAGAAAAAGAGACTACAAAAGAGCTCCAAGGAGACTATATAGTGTAAGACGGCAGGACAGGAATAGGATGGGAGAAAAGAGATGCAACATATACAAAGACTGATCAAATTGATGGTTGGCAAATATGTTGGTTCCACATTTGTTCTTTTTTTAATTTCAGAGAGAATCGGCAAGGGGAAAAGGTCATGGCTGAGTTAATAAGCAAAGGACGGGAAAGGCAATATTAAGTGCATAGGAAAAGGAAACAGGGTGAGGAGGATTGGAGGAGAATGCGAAGACTAGGGGGAGTGAAGCTACATCAGAGAGACTGTGAGGAACAGAGTCAGAGGAGGGGTCTGAACAAACAGCCATCAGCAGAAGGAAAACGTCCCTAACAAAACAAAAAGGAAATAGAATTGGATGATAGCTGTGTCTCAAGCGTTCCTCACCCCTTTCTTGTTGCTACCTGGACTCCCCACTCCTTCTGGGAAGATGTCAATCTTTGTGCTCTTGGGGCAGCCTTCACCGTGGGTGTTCTTTCCTCTCCCAGTTCAAGACAGGGAAGGGCTGGAAATAGTATGAGGGGGGACATTTATTAGCAAATTCCCCACTCCAGGGCTGTGCAGATCCATACACACAGAACCAATAATGTTCTTCTAAGAGTGTTCAGGTTGCAGAATTTGGGTTGCCCATGAAGACCACTATTCACCTCTTGCATTCTGCAGATCACAGCTTCTGCCATAAGGAGATGGTGGACATGCAGGAGCCATGAGAGTGGGTTCATGCATCCATAGACAGCAGACCAACCAGCCATTTCCTTCTTCACAGCATGATGCAGGAGTAACTCCAGCCTTCCGAGGAGAAACCACATCTTTGGGGTGTTCTAATAAGGACCAATTTGGCAGCAGGAGGAGGGGAGGAAAATGCACTTCATCACCAGCTGAATGGGAAAGGGATGGGAAGATTTCTTCCCACCACCACCAGAATTTCTAAGCATGAAGCCTGTGCCACGGGGCAGGATTCGCCCTTTAGTTTGGATGCTTTTCGTGGTGTATGGAAATTAAATTTGACTGAGTATCCTTAGTTTCCCCCCCCCCCCAGAAATATATTTCAGGTAGCACTACAGGCACTATTCATATGCCACAGAGCTGCCTGTTGAACAGGCTTTGTTATTTAGAAGAGAGGGTGGAAGATAGAGTTGGTAAGAAAAAAAGCTGACCACATTTTGACCAAATTCAACTAACATTTTTGAAAATGTTCACTTGATCCCTCTTTTAAACAGCTGCCTGATTAATTTTATGAACTTTACATTTAGCGAAAGGGCACTGGACGGGCGTTTCATTAGGCAGGAGCTCACTTGTCCTGTGCAGTGATCTGTTGAAGCAATTGTAGCTGCATATCATGGAAAGGCCACTATCTTCTGTATAAACATTTCTACAAAGAGCATGTGAAGAATTAGAAACCTTAAAGCAATGTCCTTTTAAATAAAAACCATTCACATGAACTGATTCACTACCAATTTCACACCTAAAACATGGGACATTTGGAAAAACCTTTAACATTTGTTTTCCAATTGTAAGGGGGGTTTCTTCTAAAGGAGCAATGTTGTAGGGGTTTTACTCCTATCTAATGTCAGGTTTAAACCTACTGTGAGTTTATTTTGTTTTTTATGTAGTGGCTGGTTTTTGTTTTGTTTTACAATTCTCTATGCCCTGTGTTCTCCAAGGAGTGTTGTGTATTAGCTGCAGAATGGCAGATTGCAGTGAGGAGAGAGCCAGAACTGGCAGACAGCGTGTGTGGTTTATTGGACCCAGAACATAATTCTCTTCTGTGCCTGACTTCAACATTAGAGTAGGATCAGGAGAGAAGGAGGCAGAAAAGAAGAGAGAAATGGGGCCTGTATCCCTGGCAGAATGGGTACCACCCCCAATCTCAGAATCACGTGGCAATCAATACCAGCTCCAGTGACGCACTCTGACTCTCCTCAGGGCCTTAACCTATTCCTTTCCCATCTAGCTGGTGATATGAAGTGCATTTTCCTCCCCACCTCCTGCTGCTAATTGGTCCTTACTAGAACACCCCAAAGATGTGGTCACTCCTTCGAACACATACACACAAATTGCCAGAACTCTATATGCTGCCCTTCTTTGCTCTTTTAACTGATCCATAGGTACAAATGTAAAAATGGAGTCATCCCAGTTTTAGCATTATCAGGTCACCAGATATTTTTATGACACCGATGATTTCCAGTGATATAGCTGCATTTCTCTTTCTGGATCACACAAGATTATAAGCTGTTTTCAATAATTAATTGAAATCTGGAAAATGGATATTTGATCGCTTTTAAATTTCCCAAATTCTACTGAGTAATCTGTAAAATTACACAGGCCACCTCTTATCAATTTCTAGGGGGTTTTGCTGTCGGTGTTAAAAAGAGGATGCTGTACCAGCAAAGGACTTCTGTTTTGCCAACTAAGGGCTAGATGTAGAAAACACTTACTCCCACCAGAGAGACCCACATGAATAGCCCCGTTGAAGCCATGTGAGTCACTGTCACCAATGGGAGTAAAGGATTCACAATCTGGCCCTAATTGATTGTAAATTTGAACTTTGAAATTATTTTTTCAAGAATTAAAGGAACATTTTGATGACTTCTGTCCCCAGACAGACACATGCATCTCCCCAAATTCTTATGGGGTTGCAGCTAGAGAGGAAAAACAATCTGCCTGCCAAGCTTATTGTAAACAAGCCCATCAAATCTTGCTGTGATAGTGGATGTGCAGGCACTGGTCTGCTTGCAAGAAGATGCACACTAAGTCTGGGGTTCTGAGTTTATTGCTGCATCAGATGTTGGATTAAAAAACAGTATGAGTAGAATCCTTGAGACAAGACCAACCGTATCATACAACTGTGAAAGCAGGATAATTTTAAGGGCTAACACTGACAATGACAATGTAGACCAGGGCATCTGTGTCTGCATTTTTTTTAAACGTTAGCACATATTGATGCCGAAAACCAGTGCAAGGAAGTAGTTAGTATAGTACCAACCCGTTCACTCACTAATACAGGTGGCCTGTTAGTGATTCATTAACATCTCTTGTTACTATATTAAAAACAAAACAAAACTCTATGAAGTTTCCAAATCATATACTTAGCTAATATATGCAACCTTATTGTTGTCCGCTCCTTTCCTCCATTGTGTTCAAGTCTTCAAATTGTCAAGTCTTGTCCCAGGGCCTAAGTCCCATTTTCAAAAGAGATTTAGGAGCTTATGTCTTAATGACACATAAGTGCCTAAACCACTTTTGAAAATGGCACACCAGTTCCTAAGTCACTTAGGCAATTTTCAAAAGTGAATCCAAGTCTCTGAGGCAAGTTTTGCCTTTTGCCTCTATGGCACCCGCATAAGGCACCCTCTGTCCTGACTGGACGCTTTCAGTTTAACTGTAATATAAATAATAATTAAAAGTTCATATTATTAGTAGGAATGCAATTGGGAAAGTCTAAAGTCAGATGGTTTTTGTGAAGGAGCAAGCTAACTGTTAGCCCACGTCTGAAAAAGTAACACCATATTTTGCATATGATGCAAGACCCAGCATTCTAAGGAGGCTTAAAAAATATCTATTTAGTTTTATTTATTTATATTTAAACAAAATTAAAAAAAAAGCCCATACAAAAGCACCAAGTGCCTGGGCAGCAACTTTAATTTACAATGACCACCCAGTTGCATAAAAATAATGATACAGGAGACACGTTAACTTAGCCAGCTGATAAAGCCCAGTAACTGAAAATCCCCATTCACCCTCCAGAAATATCCTCTCAAGCTTTGCCCCCAAAAGCCTGTCAAATAAATGCCTTTTGTTGCTTTCCCAGGTGATCAAGTTCAGGCGAGTTCAGTGGTGGGGGAAAGGTTCAGAGTGCCAGGATCCTCATAGCGAATGACAAACTGGCTGTCCCATCTCTTTTATAACCAGAGGGATCTAGCTTGAGTGCCTCTGCTGTCTGCAGCTGTGGCAGTGTCACAAGGAGGGAGTTAGTCTCTCAAGTGGGCTAGTCCCAAGCCACTTAAGTGTGGTAGCTCAAGACCAAGACCATCTAGAGACCAATAGTAACCAATGAAAAGCACCAAATGTCAGATAGGCCTGACAAGATGACCAAGCTAGAGAGGGAACTGCTGCATGCTGCCCCAGCTTCAGTCTCCAGATACTTGTAAGTTGTAGAATTCATTGCAATTGGCTAAACTGGAGTTGAGAAAGTCAGGGATAAAAATAGCAAGGCCCACATCCAACAGGAAATGGCTCACCCTACTGACCAGGTGCAAATCATAAAATGCAAACCGGTTACAACGTGCCTTGATCTTGGTGAATATTGCACTGCTTGCTTTTTAGTGGCTGTACAGTTCTCCGGGAGAAAAATCCCTCCATTAGACCTAGCTTTGGTATTGATCAAACTATACATTGGGAGTACACTTTTCAAAAGAGCTCAGCTCCCACATTTAGGGCCAGACTTTTGAGAGCTTAGCTCCCATTCAGCCACTAAATGAAGAGACCAAATTTTCAAATGTGATAAGCATCCAGCAGCTCCCACTGTTCTCAGTGGAAGCTCCTGTGCACTGATTACTTCTGAAAACATGGTCCCTTTTGGTGCCTAAATAGCTGCAGTTGGGTGCACACAACTTCTGAAAATCTGTCCCTACTGTTTTAAAATAGATTTAGCATACACCTTTGAGATGATACATAATACAGAGACAGAGAAAAACAATGCTGTGGTAATAACATTATTATTTGTAAGTGAGGTTTCTGCATTTTTAAGGTAATAAAATATGAACCCAACCTTTTTTCTTTTAACTTTTTCAGGAGTTGATTACTATGACAAGATTATTGATGACCTGTTGGCAAATGGCATTGTGCCCATGGTGACATTATATCACTTTGATTTACCTCAACATTTAGAAGATCAAGGTGGCTGGAGCTCTGATGCAATCACTGAGGTCTTTGACAACTATGCACAGTTTTGCTTCAGAACATTTGGAAACCGAGTGAAACTGTGGGTCACTATTAATGAACCTTATGTTGTTGCTAAAGATGGCTATGAAAAAGGCATTGTGGCTCCAGGAATAATGGAACCTGGTATTGGAGCTTATCGGACAGCTCATAACATGATAAAGGCTCATGCTAAAGCCTGGCACAGTTATGATTTGTTATTTAGAAAAAAGCAACACGGGCTTGTGTCTATAGCTCTAAACTCAGATTGGGCAGAACCCCTAGATTCAACTTGTCTGGCAGACCAAGAAGCTACTAAAAGATATATGGCTTTTTGCTTAGACTGGTTTGCTGAACCCATATTTATTAGTGGTGACTATCCAGCCATCATGAAATCCCAGATCTCTGTAATGAGTACAAAGCAAGGCTACCTATCATCAAGGCTTCCAGAATTTACTGAGGAAGAAAAGAAGATGATCAAGGGAACTGCTGACTTTTTTGCCCTAAATTATTATACTACTCGCAAAGTAAAGCACCAAGAAAATACACGCAGTGAACCAAGTGTTTCTGGGGACAGAGAAGCTGAACAAATAATGGACCATTCCTGGCCTTTTGCTGCTGGCAGCTCATGGCTGGCTGTAGTTCCCTGGGGTTTACGTAGATTACTGAAATATATCAAGGTATGGCGTGAGGCTAACTTGATCATCCAGATTTTTAGTTAGCTAACCACCACCAAGGAAAAGGATTTGTACAGTGCAATATGGGTGACTTAGTTATTGGGAGGCACACACATGCAGTAGCAAAAGGCACCATGCAAGAGTGTAAACAAGTTGACTTGGGATTCTTTGTTTCATTTTTGCATCATAACCACTGAGAGCGTTGAAGACTTTGAGGGTTTTTTTTGTTGCTATTATACTTGAAAACTCATATTGAGCATGAGTTACAATTTGAAATGATACGTGAGTGTTCGATCATCTGTTGAACTTCAGAAATGATCTTTTGGATACCAGCAGTCAGGTTTTCCTGGCATGCAACTCATTGCTGACAGTGGGACATGCTGTGACTGCTAGTATCAAAGGGTTAAGGAGCAGTGACACTACGCAGATGCTAATGCAGGAAAGATATTTTTGTATTCTTATTAAAATAAGTCATTTCACTGTCTTCATGGATATTTGCACAGTTTTGCTTTTCCACTGTTAGTCATGAAAGGTCAGCACATGGAAAATTAAGTTAATAGGGTCAGTACAATTTGATGAAAACTAGTTTTGGGTTGTAGCTTAGAGAAGATAGAGGCTAATGCACCTGATTTTATGGGTTTTCTTACATCTGTTCTGAATAAAACTTCTGCTCTCTTGTTCTAGGATACATATAATAATCCTATAATTTACATCACTGAGAATGGGTTTTCCCAGAGTGACCCTGCTCCACTTGATGACACTCAGCGCTGGAAGTATTTCAGGCTGACATTACAAGAAATTTTAAAAGGTACATTTTTAAATGATGAAAGATCAATTGTGCAAACTTAATATAATTTTCCTGTGTGCCTATTTGCATTCAGCAATGGCCATTGATTCTTGAAGCTAAAACTCGTGTAAATCAGAGTAAAGTAATGTGATTAGAAAAAAATGTTTGGCAGAAAGGAAGGCAGAATATTTAGCAGAAAGGTAACTTTAATCCTACTTCACAATCTTGGAATGGAATCAAATGAAAATGTTCAGCACTGTGTATTTTGGAATTGTACTCTTGATATCTTCATAAAGCAAAAATGGTGGATTTTCTATTTTCTACTTTTTTATAGCCTGCCTTGTTTAAAAAAAAATGCACTTTCAAAACTGCACATTCTAGGGCCAGCTTTGCTCAATTTCCACAGCACCCACAACTGGGGGAGAGATATTTAAAACTGCTCAGCAGCCAGCAGCTCTCATTGCAAAGAGTGGGAATTGCTGCATGCTGGGTACTTTTGAAAATCTGGCCCTTAGATCTAATATATATTCTTTGTTATAGAATATGATCCTGTTGCATATAGTTTAAGGAAGACTGCATGCAATTAGCTCCATGCAGTGTTCGGAATGTTCACACAGTGAAATTCACTCCAGTGCAGAGCTAATGCATCATATCAGTTCTGCTTCAGCCCTTAGGAGGGGATTTTCAAAAGTGCTCAATATTGGCATAGCTCTGCCCGTATTTGTGCCATTATTCTCCTCCCCACTCCCTGCCCACTCCAAATCTCAATTTGATCTGACCCTCCTGACTCAACAGGACAGGGGTTGGCTTCTGCTGAGACTTCTGGAGAGGTTGTAAAGAGATACACAGTAATAACATTTAGCTCTCTTACATTGTAAGCTGTTTGGGGTTAGGACAGTCTTTCACTGTGGGCTCAATCCAGCAGAGCACTTTGGCCCAGATCCCCGGATGTATGTAGGCTCCTTACTCCCATTCAGATCAGTGGAAGTTAGGCACCTAAATACCTTGAGGATTTGGGTCTAAGCACATGTGTAGTCCAACTTAAATCAATGGGACTAATCTTAAGAACATAGGAACGGCCATACTAGGTCAGACCAAAGGTCCATCTCGCCCAGTATCCTGTCTTCCGACAGTGGCCAATGCCTGGTGCCCCAGAGGGAATGAACAAAACAGGTAATCATCAAGTGATCCATGCCCTGTCGCCCATTCCCAGCTTCTGGCAAACAGAGGCTAGGGATACCATCCTTGCCCATCCTGGTTAATAGCCATTGACGGACCTATCCTGCATATTTTATCTAGTTCTTTTTTGAACTCTGTTATAGTCTTGGACTTCACAACATATTCTGGCAAGGAGTTCCACAGGTTGACTGTGCGTTGTGTGAAAAAATACTTCCTTTTATTTGTTTTAAACCTGCTGCCTATTAATTTCATTTGGTGACCCCTAGTTCTTGTGTTATGGGAAGGAATAAATAACACTTCCTTGTTTACTTTCTCCATATCAGTCATGATTTTATAGACCTCTAATGATTTTTCTTAATGATTCCCAATATTCTGTTCATTTTTTTGACTGCTGCTGCATATTGAGTGGATGTTTTCAGAGAACTATCCACAATGACTCCAAGATCTCTTTCTTGAGTGGTAACAGCTAATTTAGACCCCATCATTTTATATGTATAATTGGGATTATGTTTTCCAATGTGCATTATTTTGCATTTATCAACACTGAATTTCATCTGCCATTTTGTTGCCCAGTCACCCAGTTTTGAGAGATCTTTTTGTAGCGCTTCGCAGTCTGACTGGGACTTAACTGTCTTGAGTAGTTTTGTATTATCTGCAAATTTTGCCACCTCACTGTTTACCCCTTTCTGCAGATCATTTATGAATATGTTAAATAGGACTGGACCCAGTACAGACCCCTGGGGGACACCACTATTTACTTCTCTCCATTCTGAAAACCGACCATTTATTCCTAGCCTTTGTTTCCTATCTTTTAACCAGTTACCAATCCACGAGAGCACTTTCCCTCTTATCCCATGACTGCTTACTTTGCTTAAGAGCCTTGTCAAAGGCTTTCTGAAAATCTAAATACACTAAATCCAGTGGATCCCCTTGTCCACATGCTTGTTGATCCCCTCAAAGAATTCTAGTAGATTGGTGAGGCATGATTCCCTTTACAAAAACCATGTTGACTATTCCCCAACAAATTATGTTCATCTATGTGTCTGACAATATTGTTCTTTACTATAGTTTCAATCAGTTTGCCCAGTACTGAAGTCAGGCTTACCAGCCTGTAAATGTTGGGGTCAACTCTGGAGCCCTTTTTAAAAATTGGCATCACATTAGCTATCCTCCAGTCATTTGGTACAGAAGCTGATTTAAATGGTAGGCTACTGACTACAGTTAGTAGTCCTGCAATTTCACATTTGAGTTCCTTCAGAACTCTTGGGTGAATACCATCTGGTCCTGGTGACTTATTACTGTTTAGTTTATCAATTTGTTCCAAAACCTCCTCTAATGACACCTCAATCTGGGACAGTTCCTCAGATTTGTCACCTAAAAAAAAAGTCTCAGGTTTGGGAATCTCTCTCACATCCTCAACTGTGAAGACTGATGCAAATACTTCATTTAGTTTCTCTGCAATGGCCTTATCATACTACCTTGAGTGCTTCTTTAGCATCTCTATCGTCCAGTGGCCCCACTGGTTGTTTAGCAGGCTTCCTGCTTCTGATGTTCTTAAAAAAAAAAAAATCCTATTACTTTTTGAGTCTTTGGCTAGATGTATTTCAAAATATTTTTTTTTGGCCTTCCTGATTATATTTTTACACTTCATTTGCCTGAGTTTTAGTTCCTTTCTATTTTCCTCACTAGGATTTAACTTCTACTTTTTAAAGGATGCCTTTTTGCCTCTCACTGCTTCTTTTACTTTGTTGTTTAGCCACGGTGGCTCTTTTTTGATTCTCTTACTATGTTTTTTTAATGTGGGGTATACATTTAAGTTGAGTCTCTATTGTGGTGTCTTTAAAAAGTTTCTATGCAACTTGCAGGGATTTTACTTTTGGTGCTGTACCTTTTAATTTCTGTTTAACTTCCTCATTTTTGTGTAGTTCCCCTTTCTGAAATTAAATACTACAGTGTCGGACTGCTGTGATATTTTCCGTGCCACAGGGATGTTAAATTTAACTATATTATGGTCACTATTACCAAGCTGTCCAGCTATATTCACCTCGTGAACCTGATCTAGTGCTCCATTTAGGACTAAATCAAAAATTGCCTCTCCTCTTGTGGGTTTCAGAACTAGCTGCTCCAAGAAACAGTCATTTAAGGTGTCAAGAAACTTTATCTCTGCATCCCATCCTGAGGTGATATGTACCCAGTCAATATGGGGATAGTTGAAAATCCCACATTATTATTGAGTTTTTTATTTTAATAGCCTCTCTAATCTCCCTGAGCATTTCACAGTCACTATCACCATCCTGGTCAGGTGGTCGGTAATATATCCCTACTACTATATTCTTATGATTAAATCATGGAATTACTGTCCATAGAGATTCTATGGTACAGTTTGGTTCATTCAAGATTTTTACTTCATTTGATTTTACGCTTTCTTTCACATATAGTGCCACTCCCCAACCAGCACAACCTGTTCTATCCTTCCAATATATTTTGTACCCTGGTATTACTGTGTCCCATTGATTATTCTCATTCCACCAAGTTTTGTGATGCCTATTATATCAATATCCTCATTTAATATGAGGCACTCTAGTTCACCCATCTTATTATTTAGACTTCTAGCATTGGTATATAAGCACTTTAAAAACTTGTCACTTTTTAGCTGTCTCCCATTACATGATGTAATTGAATTAGACTTTTTTTCATTTGACTGTTTCTCATCAGATCCTACTTGTATTTTATCTTCCATGCTCTCCTCCTTAGTAGGACACAGAGAATCTCCATTAGTAGATCCTTCCCTAAGGGATGTCTCTGTCTGAACCACATGCCCCTCCACACCTGTCGGCTTTCCCCCAGCCCTTAGTTTAAAAACTGCTTTATGACCTTTTAAATTTAAAGTGCCAGCAATCTAGTTCCATTTTGGTTTAGGTGGAGCCCATCTTCCTGTATAGGCTCCCCTGTTTCCCAAAAGTTTCCCCAGTTCCTAATAAATCTAAACCCCTCCTCCCTACACAATCATCTCATCCACGCATTGAAACCCTGCAGTTCTGCCTGTCTAACTGGCCCTGCACGTGGAACTGGAAGCATTTCAGAGAATGCTACCATGGAGATCCTGGACTTCAATCTCTTACCTAGCAGCCTAAATTTGGCCTCTGGGACCTCTCTTCTATCCTTCCTTATGTCATTGGTACCTACATGTACCGTGACCACCGGCTCCTCCCCAGCACTACACATAAGTCTATCTAGATGTCTCGAGAGATCCGCAACCTTCGCACCAGGCAGGCAAGTCACCATGTGGTTCTCCTGGTCATCACAAACCCAGCTATTTATGTTTCTAATGATCAACTCGCCCATTACTAATACCTGTCTCTTCCTAATAACTGGAGTTCTCTCCCCTGGAGAGGTATCTTCAGTGCGAGAGGATACCACAACATCATCTGGAAGGAGGGTCCCAACTATGGGATTGTTTCCTTCTGCTCCAGTTGGATGTTCTTCTTCCATGAGGCTTTCATCCTCCTCAACAGCACAGAGGCTGTCAGACCAGGGGTGGGACCATTCTACTGTGTCCTGGAAAGTCTCATCTATGTACCTCTCTGTCTCCCTTAGCTTCTCCAGCTCAGCCAGCCTGGTCTCCAAAGCTCGTATATGGTCTCTGAGGGCCAGGAGCTCCTTGCACCAAATGCACACATACGCCACCTGCCCATAGGGCAGGTAATCATACATGCTGCATTGGGTGCAATAAACTGGGTAGCCCCCAGTCTGTTGCTGGACTTCTGCCTGCATTATCTTTTTACTCCTGCAGCTTATTTCTTTGTTTTTGTTTTGTTTTTATCAGGGGGTGTTTTTTTGGG